GTGGGACTTGAAAAATTGTTTTACAAGATTATAAAATATGCAAATATTCTTAATTACCATTTAATTGTTGATATTGGCTTCATATACGTATATATATGCATATTATATATACATACACATATACACACTAGCACACACACAAACACATACATGTATATTACTGAGCATTGATCAGTGAATAATATTCTGTTACTAAGTGTATTTTTAGGTGCCAATCGTTCAATTTTATTGATAGTCAGCTTCCTAAACTGGAAAATATGGTGTTCTATTATGCAGGAGGATTGAATGTGTCCATAAATGCTAAGTAATGCTTGCAAAGCACAAACCCTCTTATTTAAGTATAGGGCCTAATTATATTAATCTTATTTTAACCTTGAAATATCTGATAAACCTTTTAACATGATAAATTTGTTTCTATTATATTTTAACTAAGCCAAACCTCCAATATTTTCTATCAATTTTTTTTATTTTTCCTGTGTTGATTTGAATCACATTGTCAAATTAAAATAATTGCACATCAGATGACTATACTTAAAAATAATCTAATTTTAAAAAATTTCTTTGATATTACATTGAACTTAATAAATGTCCTTAAGGCAAAGCATCTTTTAAACTAATTATCTATACTGTGTATTCTATCTAATATTAAATAGATGCTGATTAAGTTGGATCACTCACATTCTTATTTAGGTACACCTTCTATTTAATAAAATAAATGTATACAGTTCCTCTTTTAATTCTTAGAATTATATTCTTGAAAAATTTCAAAGAACCAAAATATTTCTTTATTCATCTTCAGTATTTAAAAATATATACAGATAAGAAATGTACCCATTACCTTACTCATGTAACTGTAACCCCTCTGTACACTATTTTTACAATAAAAATATGAAAAAGAATAAAAAGGAAGAAATATGACAGTTATTTCCCTAATAAGTTGCTACTTAATTTTTGTAACCTAAGTACCATTTTTAAAATTTTTATTTTATTGTAAAGGTGATATACAGTGAGTACATTTCTTTTTGAACAGTGTTACCCCCTCCTTCATTTTGTCCACCCCCTCCCCCCCACCCCCCAGCTTTCTCTTCCCCCAAGTTGTAAAGTTCATTTCCAACATAGTGTCTAGTGAGTATCTCTGATGCATCCATTGTTATTGTAAGTTCAGGAATAAGCTACTCATGGAAATGTTAGCTTAATGCACACCTCTACCCTGCTCATTTTAATTGTAAATGAAATCCTATATAAGTTGTTTTACCATCTTTTTCTTCATTAAACATCACCAGACTTCTGGTGTTGCTCTCAGAAGGCTGAATGTCACAAATAATCTTCAGGGCTGTGTTCTCTTTCCTTATCCACTTCACGCCATCTCCTCTCTATCAGCCTCACATGTCAGGTCCCTATAAACAGCTGTCCTATGGCTGTACAACTATGAAAGTAAGCAGGACTCAAAGTGTGGGTATTCAGTTGTACCCATTGGTAGCAAATAGACAACAATGGTTTAGTTTCATCTCAAAGTCTTTTTTATGCCTACATTGAGATTTTTTTTTCCAGTGTGACATAGTCCTCTTATCAGATCCATTTTGCATATTTGCATTATCTTCTTGGCCCTTTTAGGTCTTGCATTTCAGATCCTGGCAATGAACATCTACTTCTGCTTTCCAAGCTCCATGTCCTTTGGGAAAACTGCAGAAACTGCAGAACCTTTCTATGTGAGCTTCTGGCATCAGAAATATGCTTTTAAACAAATCCTTTGTTTATAACTTATTGATAACAATCTATCTTCTATTTGCTACTTCTCTGACCCAGTACCCTGTTTACCTGTATTTCCTTATGTTTACCCCAAGTCTTTGTAACATTTATTTTCCCATTGAACTACCCCCATGCTATGTCTTCAAAAATTTCATTTTTTTGCTAGATTATAAGCATTTTCTGATTTCATTATAAAAACATTTTATATATTCTTACGCATAATGGATATACTACAAAAGTAAAAATAGCAATGTTTTTGCTTAAATATAAACATTCCTAAAGAGTACAATGAACCCAGCATATACTAAACCTATGTTAAATAAATAATTATGTTATTTCCCCCACTGTGCTTTTATGTGTGTGTTTGTGTGTGCTTCCATGGCTGTGTACAGTCAGGTATATACATACATACAGCACATGCATTTGATTCATTTTGTATTTACTGCATATACAGACACATACATAACTTACAATTTATTAAGTTAAAACTGTTCAAAGAAAATTGCATATATAATAAAAGTTTGCCCCTAAATATTTCAGGGGGTATTTTCAAAATAAAGACAATATAATAGGTGATGGTATTTTTTTTTACAAGTTTTTTTTTGGGGGGGGAGGGTGTCTGGTCGTGGGACCTGAACTCTAGGCTTGGGCACTGTCCCTCAGCTCTTCAGCTCAAGGCTAGCGCTCTACCACTTGAGCCACAGCACCACTTCCAGCTTTTTTCTTTTTGCTTATGTGGTGCTGAGGAATCGAACCCAGGGCCTCATGCATGCAAGGCAAATGCTCTACCACTGAGCCACCTTCCCAGCCCCTGGTATTTTTTTTATCTGAACAATGAATGATTTTTTTCTGTACAAATACAAATTGAATGCTTCCCACCCCCCGGGACTATAAAACATGAAATTATAGCCCTACTGATTTAACACATGATCAAAAATATGTGATGATTTTAGTAGATATGAAGCAGTTTAGTCTTGATTATGACTGATACAAATACCTGAGTTTCATTTTTTTAATTTCATTTATTTGCTTTCTTTTAAAAATTTATTAGCAGAAAACAATAATGGCTTCATTACTTTTGTAATAAATTTAGCACGTATATTTTATATTTGGAGTCTTTTAAAAGTATATTAGAATCTATTCTTTTTTTCTAGTGGAGCTTTTTTCTTTTTAAATTGTCAATTTGATATATAGAGGGGTTACAGTTACATAAGCAAGGTAATAAGTACATTTCTTGTCCTACTTGTTACCCCTTTCCTCATTTTTCTCCTACTTTCCCTCTCCCCATCCCTCCCAACTTGTACAGATCATTTCTAAAATATTGTCTTGTGTATGTTGCTATATTGGTTCCCCCCTTGTCCTTTGTCTCTCCATTCTCTTCCCTAATTCAAATAAATGTATATAAAATACCACGGTACCAAAATAAAATACAGATGGTATTTTTATGCTCCCACTTAAGAACTGTAACCACAATTTATAATACCATTTATATCCTACCTCTTTCTTGCTCTTGCTCATATGTGTGTGTATACAATTATCAAAAATGCTTATTTCTTTTATCTGCTTATTTAGTTTTTTTAGAGAATATTTATTTGTTTTTTTATTGTGAAAATTACATGGGCAAGATAATGAGTACATTTCTTATCAAGCATTGTAGCCTCCTCCTTTGTTGCCCATTCCCATCCCTCCCCCTCCCTCCTGCCCCTACCCAATCCTCCCCCTCCCCCCCAGCAAAGTTGTAAAGTTTGTTTTCAACATAATGACTTGTACATCTGCTTATTTAGTTTTTGATGGTTGAAGTAGGAGTGAACCAGCACCTATTTGGGATGCTGCATTATATGTGATGGTTATCTTTCGCATAACCAGAATTTTTGTACCTGTCTTTCCAACAAATTGCTCTCTTATGGACGTGTACAATGAATATTAACTCTATTGAGACACAAGGCATCTGAGACTCTGGAAACTTCCTAAGGAATATCTTACTTTAGTTATTTAAGAGTCTTGGAGTTTTCTGTTGTATGGCTTAAGATGGAGACAGAATACAGTATATAGGATTTGTAAGACATCTAACCTGGATTTGAGGGAGAGCAAGCATTTATATATCATGATAATGATGGAAGGAGTGTATTGATGTCTTATAATGTTTACCTCAGACGTTACCTTCAACATAAAGCTGCAAAAGGAAGATAGTCTGTTGACAGACAGCTTTGAACTGGTCCTGATCAAAACTAAGCACACGTTGTTCACTATCCGTTGTCTCCAGACTGGGTTTGACTTAGAAGTCAAGAATATTATTCAAATCAAGAAGCTTTCAAGGAAATCTCCACCACACCTCTTATTAACTCATCTTCAAAGCAACAACATTTATTTCAGTAGTATTTTCCTGCTATTGGGGCTCTTGGCCAGGCTTCTTATGTCTAGAATTCCCTTTTGATTAGGAATATGCATTGAAGTATTCTCTATTCATACTATCAAAATCTTGGAAGTAGAGTTGAATTCCTGCTTACCTCACTTGTCTCTCAGACTGTCCAAGAACGCAGACATCCCAATGTGAATCAGCAAAGAGATGGTATTGGTAGGTAACTGAAAATACAATATCAAGATCACCATGAGCATATTTATACAGTACTCTCAAGAAAAATTCTATTTGCTCAATTATATTTTTGCTTTGTTACAAATATTAATGGAATAATTTTTCCTCTTTCCAGAGTACCACAAAATGAATCCAACACTATAAGCTTTGACTACATCAACAAAACAGAGTAAAATTCAGCACTATAACCTGTGTCTACACTGAAAAAGCTATGTCTACATTTATTTATAGGAAGAAGTGAGATGTGGAAAGAAAAAAAATGTGATTAAAGAAATAATATTTTAAAAATTATGTTCTCTACAAAGGATGATGAATCCTAGAATTGAATTCTTCTCTCAATCTATGAATGTAGTACAATAATGTATTTGAAATATCTGTGAGACTGGCAAGTAGGTTTCTCAGGGCATGCTGCATTGATTAAGCTATATTTTAGATAAACGATTTCACAATCTAATCTGCTCTGTGGTTGAACATCCCTTGTTTAGCAAAAATATAAACAGTTTATTTTATCTAAGAAAACCTAAATAATATTACCAGGCAGATGTTTTTCCAAGTTGTTCATTAACTCACAGAAGGGTAGTGACTTCTGAGTCTTCATGATATTTTGTTTGCAATGTGACTTTCTTTTTCAGGTTTAACATGGACTTTTCTTTTTCAGCAGACTCTCCCCACTTCAGGAAGTTCAGCTCCAGAGGTATGTAAACAAAATAAGTAAATAAATACATAAATATAAAAATTCAACTTGCAACTAAAGGTCATTGTACATATTAGCAATTTACTAACATTAATTTATTTCATATTCTGAAATTTGGAAATACTATATATATATATATATATATATATATATTATTTTCAGCGATAAGGTAGACTTAAAGAATTCTCAACTCAGATTGTGACAAAAATTAGGATTCCGATTAAGCAATTAAGTGTTCCAAAATATTCAGAGAATAATAAGTGTCATTCCCATTTGTTATGCTAAAAAGTAAATATTTTGTTAAAAATCCAAAAGGACTTAATCATGCAAAGCCAATAAATGTATCTTTAAATAAGAGTATGTTGAAAACTATTGCTCAATTTCAAGTGCTCATTTAAAAGAGAGCATCTACTTTACTCACGCAATGCACCATGTGGTATAGAAAGTTATTGCAATAACATATAGCCACAGAATAAGTTTCTGCTCCTTTGAAACTCAGTGTAAACATTGTTACAAGTTATTTTTTGTGAAATGTTAGCTTTACCTTTGATAAATGAAGCAAAGTTTCCACATTGTTCTACAATATTCCTCTAGTCAGTTGCTATTATCTCAATAGGAAATCCCCAAATGATATGCTTTTCCTTTAAATTGGAACTGCCTGCTTTTGAAAGTATTGCTTATGACTACTACAGACGGATATCAAAATAATTAAAAATAACATAAAAAAACTCACTGTTCTCCAACCACCCAAAAATAGTTTGCTCAGACATGTGTTTTACATAGGAACATGAAAAAAATTGAGGCTAGTCATAAAGCTGGAGTCTTAGGAATTGTATAAGAATATAACATGTATAGAATATACATGAAAGCACTGTTATTTGCAATTGTGTTGCCATATCCTTGTGCACACTCAAAATTAAATTACTTTCACAAGGATCTCAGGATTTCTTTCACAGAAATCTTGGGTTTCATATCCACATAGGAATTACCTGTATCCAAATTCACCTTCAAGTTTAGGAAATGGGAAGCATCTCTTGGAACTTTATTTTCTTAATATTTACTCATTTTGTCATATTAAGAAGTTGTACAAAGGGATTTCAATTCAATATGTAATTTTGTGGGTACAATGCATCTTGCCACCCTATGCATCATTCTCCCTCCGATCCCTTACCCCCTGGGTCCTCTCAAGGTACCAATTACATCTTCACATAAAACTAGCTTTACCCGAGGCACCAATGGCTCATGTCTGTAATCCTAGTTAAGCAGGAGACTGAGATCTGAAAACTGAAGTTCAAAGCCAACCACAGCAGACACATCTGAGGGACTCTTCCCCAGTTTGCCAGTAAAAAAGCTAGAAGTGGATGTGTGGCTCAAGTGATAGAATGAATGCTAGGCTTGAGTGATAAATGCCAAGTAAGAGCACAAGTCCCAGAGGTCAAACCCCAATACCAAACCCCAATAACCACTTTATATATATTCATATATACATAGATGCATATAGAAACAGATTTTTGTTCTACTTTCTTATTTCCCATCTCCTCAGGAACACACCCAATATCTACACAATTATTCTCATTTATAGTAACTTAAAAAGCAAATAATATACAACAAAAATATGTCTTTTAAAATATTTTTATTGTGAAAATACCATACAGAGGGGTTACAATTACATGGGCAAGGTAATGAGTACATTTCTTATCAAGCATTGTTGCCTCCTCCTTTATTTCCCCTTCCCATCCCTTCCCATCTCCACCCAACCCCCTCTGCCCAGCCTAAGTTGTAAAGTTCGTTTTTCAACATAACGACTTGTACATCTCCTTGTTGCAATGGGTCCACCTGTATCCCTATTTAAACGGTTTGTTTTTGCCCTTCCCCTCCACAAATTATACCAACATCAAATACTATGAAAGCAGGGTTTAAAAAATACCTCTTTACAATGCTACTCAACACTACAACTACTACTATTATGGTCTAAAAGCATACTGTAATAAAATATAAATGCTTGATTTATACTTTATAAATTGCTGTCATTTATTGAGTATTCATTTTATGTCAATACATTACCTGTGTTTTCTGAATTTAGCCCTGCATGAATCTTCTTATTTTATGAGTGAATTGATTCGTGACAGCAATAGTAAATAACTTGCTCAAACTTGTGCAGAAGAAGAAACAAAGCTTGGAGTGGCCACAGCTCCCTTGTTTGCAGTTTTAATTTTTGTGTTTGTCACTATTGGTAAACAGTTGTACAAAGGGGTATACATTCAACATGAGTATGATGCATTTTGATCAATGTTAGCCCTTTTGTTTTTGTAATATGTACATAGGAAATCTTTAACTGTAATATATCATTTATTATATTCATGCTTAAAACTTCATAAAATATGTTTAGAAGTAATGGCTACTTTGATAATTAATTTTGCTGCCAATTTCAAAGGATTCTTGGTAGATTTAGACCTTTTACTATTTTTCAGAAGAATTTGATCCTCTTGGCCAGTAAAATATTCAAATCTCATAGTAAGTTCATTCTACTTGAAGCTATAGTTTTGAAGTAGAAATTAAGTGGTTTCTCTGAACTCTTTTGTGAACACTGTGAGAAATGGCTGGGGATGTCTAAGTATTGTGACTATGCCCATGATACCTTGCCTTAATGGGGTCCCAGGTTTCTGGGAGATTCTTGTAGCCCGGATCTAATGGCAGAAAGAGGCCTGTTTTCCTGAAAGCCAGCTATGCTGGGACAAAGAAAGCAAGTTCCTGGATTCACAAGCAAGATGTGCTTGACAGTAAAGTACTTTGTGGCTTTGTACCAATCCAAGTGCTTTGCTGTTTGTCTGTCTCCCATGCTGAGACTGGACAAAAAAGGAGCAAATCCAGTGCTTGAGGTAATCATTACTTGCTGCTTGTAGTTTGCGATTGATCTACAGCAGCAGGCTTAAATACTGTGGTAAACAACTCTTTTGAGAGGTGAGTTTTTTCCTGTGTACAAATACACTACCTCTGTGAATCAGCATGATATAGAAAAGCATACATTTTTTAGAACACACATTTAAAACGAGGTCTTTTATTTTATTTATTTGTTCTTTCTGTTTTCTGTAAATGGTCTCTTTGGTTTTTCTTCTCTGTTTATTATGATGATTCTTCTTTTGGAATTCTAATACAATATTTTCCAGTTAAAATCTGTTGTGCTACTTGTCGAGTCTCAGGATCACAAAACACTGAATTCAGTATTTAAAGCGTCTGCATAGCGAACACAAATGGCTGATATTTGGAAATGTTCAAATATCAATAGCCATTTTTTACTTTGTACTTGTAGGTTCTATATTCTTTCATGATTTTTTTTCAAATAATTCTTTCCAGTGTTTAAATAATTTCTATTGATTATAGCAATGATTTTCCAACTCTTAATATCCAGGATAATTTATCTGGCAGAAGAAAATCTGCCTTAATTTGAACAATATAAATTATTTTGTGGTTGAGAGACCAAAAGGAAAAAAAAATATTAAAAAAAAAAAACAACAGCAGTAAGTGTTGTGCATTGCTGTCTGTTATTCTCCTAGCCATTTTATCTTGAATGTTGACACAAAATAAGTTGGATGGACTCTTCCTGAAACTTTTAAAACTTTGTCATTAGAAATTAATTTCCTTTGCCAGCCAGGATTAACTACCTCCTAGAGTAGGTAGTGTAATCCTTGTGGACAGTAGATTTTTCAAGGATGCACCTGCTTCTTCTTTGCAGTCCTTCATCTGAATGGAAAGAGAAAAAGCTCTTTTGAATGTAAATAGGAGAATGTATCCAACTGCGTGTAAGGTCTGCACTGGAACACCTCCCTACTTCGTGGCTGTTTCTGCCCAGTATCTGTTACCTAGGTAACTGGCAGACCTGGAAGCAGTCACCTTCCCCTCCTGCTAGGTCACATCTAGGGCCACCTCTGGTCACATGCCTCCCATCTGATTTTAGGAGGGTCCCAGACTCTGAGGTCATGTTGGGATCCAGTGTGGTCACACCTTTCCCCCACCTGGCCACACCTCTTCCTGTCTCTGGCCTGGATAAGTCTTGGCCCAAGGGTGGGTATTCCCTTCCTTTTTCAGCCATGCCTCTCCACCAGGCCTTGGGGGAGGGGGGGATGGGCAGCAGTTCAGTAAACTTCTTTTCCTGCCTGAATAGCACCTAGTGTTCTCTTCATCGGCTACCTAATGAAACCTACCTATTTAATATACCTTATCCTACCCACCTATTTCACTATGTTGCTTTTATATGGTATAGTGAATATTTCAGATTTCTACATCCATGTTGGAATAAACATTTAACAAATGAGCATAATAAGTAAATGCCAAGAAACACTAAATTATTATATGTATCCCTTGCTTTGAAATGTTTTCAGCATGGACTAATTTCACTAATTTTCCCCACTACCATTTTTTCCCAAACCCAAGAAATCATTAGGTTTTCTTGAGAAGAGTGTGTTAAAAAGAATGTTTTGCCATTTTGTGTGTGTGTGACCTATGTTGTATGACAAAATACAGGTAAAGATTTATATATTGAAGATTTTATTTTATTTTGCAATGCTGGGGATAGAACTCAGGAACTCATGTGTGATAGATAAATGCTCTATCATTGGGACATTGCTGATCTTAAATTAAAATTTTTTTTCACTGTATACCTCTTCCTCATAATTTTGTGTTTCAAATATAAACTCATAGTAAATGAAAATTCAACTTTAGGTTTAGAATTGCCTTTTTTTATTTACTCTCCTCTCTAGCTTACTCAGTTGTACATATCCTTGGAAGTGATGAAAGGCCACTTATCAATTGCCATCTCTACTAATTGATGACTCTTGCCACATATGAATGGCCAGGAATAAAATTAATTTAATAAAGATTTCAAGACTTTTTACAAGAATATACTTAAAAGTCTTAATTATTTTATTATGTATGCATAATCAGGTATAATTAACCCAGTTTTAACATGACTAACAAATTAAATTTTATTTAATTTTCTATCCTAACATTTTGGAACTAAATTCTAAGCAATAATGGATTCCAGAAGAATCGTGCTGAAGTACACTTTTCACATCGTACTTTGTAACAAAACATTGAATCTACGTTTTATATATCTACACTGAAGAATTCTGGGGCCAAATACTTCTATATTCATTAACACCATATGCGGATTTTTATTCAACTCCAAACACATGCTATACATTTTGTAATATAAATGTTGAGACTTACTTGTTTAAACATATACTTGTTGTACATAGTGAAAATAGTTTCATGCACATTTATTTGGAATCATAACAATTTCTAAGTCAATATAAATTAGCACCCAGATGGGAAACCAAATTATTTTACATTATTCATTGTAATTTTTATTTATTGAGCACATACACTGACAGACAAACAACTTGAAGACTTTATAAATTTTCTATTAAACTATACCAAACTCTGAGAAATAGATAATGTTACTTGCATTCTGTATGAGAAGAAGCTCAGATTGTATAATATATACAATACAGATGTGATTCAACTCAGAGTTTCTGATTTCAAATGACACTTTATAATTTATTCTATTCTTTATACTGTTTAATTTATTCTAGTCTTCATACTGGATAAAATGGTAATATGTAAACTTAGAAAAAGGTGCTTATATTTTCCAGAAATTATGCTTATAAGGAAGCATATCAGTTTTCAAAGAATTTGAATCTTGAGATTCTTACAACACCATCTATTTTCATCCATAATATACAAAATGTTCCATGTTTTTGAACCACAAAATCACATGGTAAACTAAATACATTGATTAGGATTTTTTTTTGGTTAAAGATTTCTGAAGTATTAGAAAAACTAGATTTACATTTAGCTGCTCTAAAATGTCTTTCCAAATCAAATAAATTATAGTGCAATGTAACAAGCAGATGGAGAAACTTAGAAATTCAAATAAGCGTCAAGAAATAGGTAGCACTAAAATACTTCTGCATCCATGGACTGACATCACTAATCAACCTGTACAATTTTCCATCATTTCAAGATATGACCCATGACTCTTAAGCATAATGTTTTAGACATTTTTAATTGTTTTTAAGTATATATTTAAAAATTTTATTTTCTTGTAAAGATGCTGTACATAGGGGTTACAGTTACATCAGTAAGGTAATGAATGCATTTCTTGATGAGCATTGTTAATTGTTTTTTAAAGTTAGGTTTCATTTATTTTATTATTTATTTACCCTGATGTTAGTCAGGCACTGATCTAGGATCTAATGTAGACAGATTATAATTATTAAATCCCTTCCCTTATGGAATTTTAATTAAAATGAGAACATTGGCATTATATAAATAACATTTATATAATTATAGAAGTAACATTTAAGTGTGTAATAAATGCTATTGAAAAGGAAGCTGAAAGAAATAAGCATCTCTGATGCATGGCTGGATGAAAACTTGATATCAGAACCAAGCCCAGCAAATATGGCAAGTTTCCCAGCAGAGCACAGAATGAGGGCAGAAGTCCTGAATTGAAAACATGATTGTTGTGGTCAACAAGGAGGAGGACATTTAGCTGAAGTCTTAAAAGAACTGAAATTGTTGTGTTGAGAATTGATGATAACAGGAGATAAATTTGGAAAGATATTGATCCATTAGATGATAGTTACAGTCATCACTGTAAGAAGAAGAAGAATGTTCACACAAACTCTGTAATAATTGAGTTGTTGGTGAGCAGTCCCCCAAGGACAGATGTGCACTTTAGACATTCATCTGGAGAGCCAGAAAGAACTTTTGTATATGGGAGTTAAGTTTCAAAGATGAATTCTGAAAGGGAATTACGTACTTATGTGTTTTTATATATTGTAAAGGTGCTGTAAGGAGAGATTACAGTTACATGAGTAAGGCAATGAGAACATTTCTTGTCGAGCATTGTTACCCAGTGAATAAGTATAGATACTGAAGAGGACAAGTTGAAGGAAGAGGTCCCTTCTTACACACTGTAAAGCTGCAGGAAGACTAAGTGCAAGAGACTGTGAAGGAACAGGTAAGGAAGTACAAAGAGAGATGATAGAAATGAAACTGTGGAGCAAATTGTCAGGAAGTAAGAAGGAATTAATATTGACAAATGCTGCCGTAAGTGTGGAGATGAAGGCTGACAATTTGATGTTGCCATAGAAAGGGTACAAGGTGATTTGAATCAAAGCTAGAGTAGTGGTGATAAAAAAAAAAAATGAGCCAGGCACCAGTGGCTCATGCCTGTAATGCTAGCTACTCAGGAGGTTGAGATCTGAGGATCGTGGTTCAAAGCCAGCCCAGGCAGGAAAGTCCATGAAAATCTTATCTCCAATAAACCACCAGAAAGCTGGAAGTGGTGCTGTGGCTCAAGTGGTAGAGTCCTCCTCTTGAGCTGAAGAGCTCAGGGACAACACCCAGAGTTAAAGCCCCAAAACGCCCACCACCAAGAAAAAGTTGATTGAATTCCATCTATGACACATTTTTCCATACTCATACATCCACTGAGGGACATTTGTCTATCTTGGCTATGGTATACAATGCTGAAATGAAATAGTTATGCTGGTAGCATTAGTGTGGCCTTGTAGAACTTTATTGGTTACTGCCCAGGAGTGGGATTGCTGAGTTGTAGAGAAGCTCTATAGTTAGTCTTTTGAGGAAAATCTATACTGGTTTCCATAGCAATTGAACAAGTTTACATTCCCACCAACAGTGTAGTAGAGCTCCCTTTTGGTCACATCCAGACAGCATTTGTTATTCTCACAGGAATGAGGTTGAATCTCAATATTGCATTGATTTCCATTTCTTTTATGGCCAGAGATGGTGAAGGGAATTCTACTCATCCATCAGAAGTAATGATATTGTACCGTTCATAAGGAAATGGAAAGACTTGAAAGAGAAGTAAGCCAGACCCAAAGAAACATAGATTGCATGGGTTCCCTCACTTGCCTATAAATTGACAAGTAAATACATTGGATGGTAGGACATGATATATTATACAGGTTTCTAGGTATTCACAGAGTGAGACCAATGGAGAATATTCTTAGGAGAGGATGACATAGGCACAATAGTTATGTGCATCTGACCATGTAAAATAATATTTATCAAAATGAACTCCAGGAAATGAAAGCAAGAGTTTTTTTTCTCTCTCTCTCTTTCTTTGTTACTATGTTGGTTTGCATTTCCTTTTGCCTTGTTTGTTCGTCTATCTGTCATTGGTAGGATAATGGGGGGGGGGCACAGAAATGGTGGTACACAGGGTAAACAAATTCAGCAGTGATATTCACTAGACACTATGCTGAAAATGAATTATACAACTTGTGGGTGGGGACAGGAGGGAAAAACTGGGAAGGAGTGAGGGAAGTGGAAACATTGTTCAAAAAGGAATGTACTCTTGGGGAGGGGGGGAGATGGGAAGGGATGGGAAGGGGAAACAAAGGAGGAGGCAACAATGCTTGATAAGAAATGAACTCATTACCTTGTCCATGTAATTGTAACTCCTCTGTAGAGTATTTTCACAATAAAAAAAGAAAAAAAAAGAAATGTACTCTTTATCTGACTTATGTAATCCCTCTGTATATCACCTTTACAATAAAAATAAGTAAATTTTACAAAAAGATAATTGAACCTGGTGATTAAAGTAAGTTGAAGAGGATGAGAAGAAATAGAGAAAAGTGGTTACAAATGAATTCACTGAGTTATAATAGACTCTATGGAGAGCTCAAATAATATAATCTTTTAAAGTTAAGCCCAACAAACTCAGGTGGGTTGGGCCAAGAGGGAGAGGAGTAGAATTAATGAAGAGGGTTGGGGAGGGTTAAAAGCAGTCAAGAATTCACAAATTAAGAACAGTAAAGAAAAGGCTTGGTCAAAGAGGTGTGGGAATGTTGAAGGATTAAAATGTGATTAAAATGTGCCTTATTTATAAATTGCTTGGGTATATGGCAATTTTTTAGAACTACTTAATTATAAAAATAAAGGCAATTCTTAATACATGTGAGGTTTTTTGTCAGTATGGAGAACAAAGAATTAGTTGGACTGAGTGTGATTGATATACTACATGCCCTTCTCATTGAAAATAACAGCTTCAAAATCCACCACGCGATTAAAATTCACCTCCAACATTGCATATATTAATGAATATTATTTTGAGTAATCAGTAAAACATTTTTTTAATCCAAATCCCACACTACCCACCTTGCCTGTTGTATATAAAATTAACCAAGTGTACTTTATTTAGACTCTTAATTAACAGTGATTGGGGTAGATGGGGATAATTGCAGTTTGGCTTTTTTCATGTTGAACCATTTTTTTAAAGGTAAGCAGAGTAAGTTTATTTGAAAGTGAAAGAAAATTTGTGAAGGAAAAGTAGTAAGACTCTCCATGAAGGCAGGATTTTATCATTATGATATTTTAATCATGCAACTATCATATATTTATTGAGCCAGTTGAAAGGAATATCATTTTTCTTGTTCAGTAAAAATTATATATTAAGAATCTGAGACAAGTTTAGAACTATGAGTACAGTCATAATATTCAATGAATATATGTGCCTAAGAAACTAGGAAAATTGAGGGGATGGGTGAGGCTGGGAGAATGAGATTGATGGAAATGATGGCATTGTTGAAGTTTTTTTTTTGGCATTCCTAAACTAATATTGAATCAAAACCCCTTTGCCCAACTATTTATAGCTAAAAATTAACAAAATTAAAAGAAAACAAAATTTATTGGTCTCTTCTTTTAAACATATTGTTTTAGCTTAAATTTTTTTTACAAACATTATTTTTCTTTTAGGAAAGACAATCAACAGTGAAAAAGGAAAAGGGTAGTTCTCAGCAGCCAAACAAAGTGACTGATAAGAACAAAATGCAGAGAGCCAACTCTGTCACAGTGGATGGACAAGGCCTTCAGGTAAAATTACTACTTAAATCTACATTTTAGTAGTTTTCCTTTGTGTTACTTTTATAATCTGAGAAAGGCATATGTTCAGTTATTAACACATTTATTTAACGTTTATATTAGCTCTTTAGACCGTTTCAGAAAGATCATTATTAATTTATCAAGATGTCTGTCTCACAGTTGATTGACAGAGTGACATTTTGGTTAGATTAATTATTTATGGTGCTAAATCTATTTAGACTTAAATTGGCAAAAAATATCATTTGTCAATCTGAAAGTTTTTGCAAATCATTCCTAAATATACATACATATTACATACCTATATGTTAGTTATTCATACATTAGTCTCTCCATAAATACTCTTTCTTTCTTTTTTCCTTCTTTTGAAGAATTGCTTTGATTGTAAAGAAAAATAGAAATGAACTCTAGTTGGGTAGATAAATAATGATAATGAAGTATTTATTAGAATTTATATCTTTCAAAGTTTTAAATAGTATTTGAAACTGTACATATTTCCAGGTACACAAAAATCACTGAAATCATTTTTCTACTCTTTAAAATCCTGTAATTATTGCTGTGATTTCTGATATTAAAATACCATCCTTCCATTTTCACTTTGGGCTGTTTTATACATTGAATGTTTTGTACTTATTTGCCTATATTTCTAATTTACTATGAAAAAGTCAACAAAATTGACTTAATATTTGGATTTGTGTACTGACTTTATTTTTCTAACTGTACTTTTATTCAAATTGAAATTTTTTTCCATGAAGAGCATGTTTCAATATAGGAATATGTTTCAATATGTTTCTTTTACCTGTGATACCATGGATTTTGTCCTTTGTATTTCTTAATCTGAAAACACAAGTGCACACAATTTATGTCTATGAATGCTTCTTCATTGTCTTGAATATTTCATCAAAATTTTAATCAAGAATTAGATACATATAGTAAGAAAATTTATTTTAACCTAACCAAAAACATTGCAAATAAGAAATCTTCATGAGTTACTGTGAAAGATAATTCTGAAATATAAGACTATTTTAAATGTATATAATTCAATTATGAAAGACTATAACAGGCTATAATTTTGGGAAGTCATATATTTAGTAATCTCATTGAAGATTTCAAATAACGAAATCTGATAGTAAAAATTATGTTACTAAGTGCTCTTGTAAAAAATTTTTAGTGAAAATAAATCAACATTTGAATTTAAAAAGCAACTTAACATTGAACGGTTTAAATGGCTAATGATTTTGGTTTCTAGAAACCAAATAAGGAAAGACTAATTTTGAAATCCACATATATCTACGAATGTGAAAGTATATATTTCTCACTATGGAAAGGAGGAAATTTTCATTTGTTAGTGCTTAGTACAACCCAAGTAGTGTGGTATTATTTTACACATATTTCACCAACCCAGTAAACATGGAATTCAATGACTTATTATCCACATTTCCAACATAACCATTTTGATAATCAAAAGTAAATTAACTCCTCCACCCCATACCAGCAGTCAGTAGGAAAGTCAATGATTGAATGAGGCCTTTCTTATTTAGGTGGTATGTATTTTATTCCTGTGGTAAAAAGTCTCTTAAATTCAGAAATTTGATCATCCTTTTTTAATATAATTTGAGCTAAAATTATATATTTATTAGTTCAAGAGACTATAACTTTTATAATCTTAGTTAAGATTTACATAATATTTATTTTTTTCAAAGTTCAAAACTATTTTTATTTTAATACATTCAGAGTACTTTTATAACTTGAAACTCACATTAAACTATATATTTGATTTTCATTTATACACAAAAGTAATCTGAAATAATTCACCTTGTTATTTATCAATTATGCAGATTTAAAGCCATAGATAATTAACAATATTTCTGAATGTATGGATCTCTATAGACAACAATTTTTGTAACTTTTTTGCTGAAGGAAAATGTCAGATAAGATTGTCAGTAGGCAAAATGTAGACATCAAGAATAGCAAAAGAACAGCAAATAAATAAAACTGTAATTACCAATGTAACTTTTTGAGTTTTTATAAGTTGGTATGTTATCATGTGCAAAATTCAGATTCATCTCAGAATAGATGTCCCTAGGTAGAGAAAAGGAATAAAAGTTTGGATAGCTATTTCATGCAAAATAGAAAACAAATTGCATTGTAGTTACCAATTGTAAAATGGTAAAATAAATGTTTTTTAATCAAATAAGGCAAAAAAATCTATCAAATATTAAATTTCATATGAAGTTTAAAAATCTAGATAATGGAAAACAATAGATTGCAGTCCAGTTTGCATCTAACTCTGTGACAGAAGATCTACACTGTTTAAAGAAGACTATTAATCATAGTTAAGCACATTCATCTTGCTTCTTTCCAGCTAACCAGTATAATGATCAGGATTATTATTTCTAATTAGAGGAAGTAATAGATCATGTATAACCTTAGGATGAGTCTCATTAATTAACCCAAGTCCTAGGGGATTTCAAATAGCAGTAGTTAGGTACTCTGTCTTTGTCAGCACTCACACCAGAGGTATACACTTAATATATATAACCAAATGTAATTGAAACTACAATTCTTTAACATACAACTGATATATAGATACAGCTTGTTTTTTATATGTGGACAAATAAAAGGAAAAACAAAACTTTTACATAAACTGTATTATATTAAATTAGTTGTCTAAATATTCTTCTATGTTTCCAGATAAAAGTATCATTGGATAACTGAGGAATCTAATTTGCAATATGGTTAATTCAAGTTCTTTACATGTGGTATATAAAACTGTATCATTGCCTCCTGTCCTAAAATTGCTTTTCCCTATTGCTATTTCTTATTTTCTTATGTTTGTAAACACCAACAGTATAAACCAAACATACATGCACTATGCATAACTGCACAGTATGTTTGTGAACTCATTTCCTTTGTTAACTGATGTGTGTCGATGTGTGTATACCTTGTTCTCTCAGTACCCTCAGTCCTGTTGACTCTTTCAGAGCCAAACATCATCATCATCATCATTATTATCTTTCTCTCCCTAAATTCAGAGTTAGGCTCTGTAATGTTAGATCATAAATGATGCTACATAAAAGAACTATGTAAGCTATATGTCTGAGCTGAGATGTGGAGTCTTCTGTAATGAAGTAAAATATTCAAGAGATACCTGAATTAATCAGTAGAATGAGGGAAGCAGTTGCCCACATGGCTAAGTCAGGATGGATAACTCAAAAATGTATGTGAAAGGTCTAGAATGGACAAGACTTACATGAATGCAATAGATTGACAAGTCAGAATAAGTAGAACAAAATGTAGAGATGTAACAGGAGGTAGATACTATGAAACTGGAGAGATTGAAAGTAACTTTAGCTTTTGTTGTGCATAAGATGGCAAGAAGAGGAGGAGGTTACACAGAGAAATGATGAGTTGAATTATATTTTAAAAGATATACTCTTATTAATACTAGATTGTTGGATAAGGAAATGTCAGGGGATAACTACAACAATTACCTTAAGCTTGTATGATAGAAGCCTTTTGTAATGCAAGGAAAGTAGAGTGGAGCAGTGTTTAAGGACAGAACCAGAAGATATGCCAATACATTGCCAATGCATTACAGTTGTGTAAAATTAAAGAAGGACATCACCAAGGCGGCTGACCCATTGACTGAGATGGTGAAGTTTGGGTGAATACGGTTTGAATTTTTTTTTTTGATGTTAGGAATCCAGAGAAAGCTACAAACTAGGGTGATCAACATGTGGATCTAACTTAGGGAGAACAACAGATAAAATTTGGCAGTAATAGACATGTTGATGATACTTTAAAATGTCAGAAAATTTCAATAACGTAAGTTTTATATACATACATATATACATAGATGCATTTATGCACACTATATATAAACTCATTATATTTATAATATATGTAAACCTATGGTACATGTATATAACTGTGTTATTGAATTGGATATATGTGTGCACATATACACATTTAAGTATATGTATACACACATATGTATGCATATATACATATATATGCATGCATGTATATATACATGCATATGTATACAATACATATATAGTGCAGTAATTGAAATCAAATCCACAATTAGTATCTCACTAATGTCACACTCTTTAAATTCACTATATTAAATTATACCAGTGTATGAATAAATAAAACTTCACAAGTCCAGTTATACTCAGCAAAGAAGAGAATCTGTTATGGCTTCTCTCTTTCTGGAAAGTACTTTAAACCCAATTTATAGTATTTCTTCAAGATTCAAAGTACAACAGGACAAAGGGTGAACCAATTCAGCAGTAAAACTCACTAGATACTATGTTGTAATGAACTATAGAAGTTTTGGGGGAGGAATGTAGGGAGGAGACAAACTGGAAGAAAGTGAGGGAGGGGCTGACATAGTTCAAAAGGAAATGTACTCATCACCTGACATGTTACTGTCACCCCTTTGCACAGAACTTGTACAATAGAATTTTTAAAAATAAAGTACTACAAGTACTACAAAATATTCTTTGAACTGTTCTTCCCTTCATCCATATAATAGTCTTTGTTATACTGGTTTACCCTATTTCAAAAGGTTTTGTTGTTGTTGTTGATTTGTGTGTGTGTGTGTGTGTGTGTGTGTGTGTGCCAATACTGGGGCTTGAACTCAGGGCCCAGACATTGTCCCTTAGTTATTTGGCTCAAAGCTGATTGACTGAACATAAGGTTTGAATGAACTTTTCTGCCCACCTCAGTCATTAGATCTCAGCATCTGAGTAGCTGTAATTACAGATATGAGCAGCCAGTGCCCAGTACCTTTTATGTGTGTTTGTGTCATCCTGGTGCTTGAACTCGGGTGCTAGATGCTGTCTCTGAGCTTTTTTTGCTCAAGGCTAGTGCTCTACCACTAAAGCTACAGGTCCACTTCTGGCTTTTTTTGTTGTTGTTGTTATTTTAGAGATAACAGTCTCACAGACTTTCCTGCTTGGACTAGCTTTGAACCATGATCTTCA